GAATCATCTTTAGTTTAGTTACGTACAAAAGGTTGCTTATGCAAGTTGCAAGAGCATCCAAACCCACATAACATTGGGTCATGTTTTAACCCATGTGCATGCAAATAAATCCAGTACACTGATGCAGTACAAATAAAGACCCTGGCTTGATAAAAACGAACCACTGTTGAGCGAGCAATCACTCACAGCTGGTAAAAACAGGAAGTGTGCATGCAGAACAGAAACTCCAAGTCAAATAAAGCTCCCTCACTCCCACCCTCCCACCAACCCCCTCACCGTCAGTGACGTCCCCCACCTACTCACCCACTGCTGGAGGGACTGACAGACATACATCCAAACCAGCAGCACAAAACATTACTGATGAGCACAGGAAGGACAAACATGCACTGTCCTACGCACTGTCCTGCACACTGCTTATGCTAATTCACCTAAAGTGTAGAAAATATTGGGGAAGTCTAGGGGGAAAATATAAGTGCTCCACCATGCATGCGTGTTGGCTCAGACATGCAAAGATTTAAACACTACACAAGGTTTTCACTATTGCTATCAGTCAGCATGGCCATGCAGCAGTCATTCTTCTCACCAGTTAAATGACTCGTATGTGATCTACCTCTAGACTTATTGTGAAAATCCGCTATCAAAATCATGGCCTCTCCTCACCATGGCAACAATTTCAGCTCCTCGTCCGTCCTTGAGACTGAGGAACGCTCCGTCTCTTTACAAATGCTCTTTACAAAGGCTTCATCAAGCCGTCTAGTATGGACCTGCTGCGATTCGAAGCTTTTAAAAAAAGACATTTCATTTTAGCACTTCACTTGGTCCTTGAGAATGAATTGTTTCTGCTCACTGCAATGATAGTCTCCTGAAAGTGGACCGAATGGATCATTGAACTAAACCAGGGGTTTGCAAACTTTTTGCAGCCAGGGACCCTTAAACTGTAAAATAATTCCATGGACCCTCTCAGTAGAGATTTATTTTATGAACATAATCCAATTTTTAGATATCAGACCCATTATTCAAAAGTGTACAACTAATATTCTGGCTTTTTTTTTATTATAGACATTAAGCTTTTTATTCCTGAACTTTCCATTCACAGAACACATGAGGTCCGGATAGACACAATTTATACACTCTCAGAAAAAAGAGGTATAAACTGTACCTTTCTTTGTCAATGTGGTGCTACCCTCAAGGGTAAAGTAGTATTCTGAAAGCTAATGAAAGGTACAAGAATGGTTCTTAATGTCCCATAATGCCATTTAAATCTACCATGTAAAAGATATGTACTACAGGTGAAAAAGAAAATTATTGTCGAGGGTACCACTCCAGCAACAAGGAAAGGTACGGTTTATTCCTTTTTCCTGAGTGTAAGCTGACTTGTTTATAAGTTATTGAGATTCCCGTTCCCAAGTGACCAGTCAAACAGGCTACTAACTATAAGAACCCAAAAATAAATATAATAAGTGGGTTGTGATTTCCACCACTGTAACACAATTCTAAATAATAATAATAATAATAATAAAAACATGGACCCCACTTACCCCACTTTGAGAAACATTGACCTAGACAATATAATAATCAAAACACACACTAAATACAAGTGAGATCTTAAAACATTTATAAAAACAATTCATATTTAAGATTTTTTAATTGCACATGACAGTGTGCTTTTGCACTTGCTCTACAAATATACATAATAGGCTTCAAAAACTTTTTCTAATCATAAGTCGTCATTCACACATTTTTGGTGCGACTTGGTACCCAGAAGTCATTTGACTGATGGTAACACATCTGTGACAAATTGTGTTGTTTGCTGTGGCCTTTCTCACAAATGACCTGATGTGCTGTCTGAGTGTTTCATGCATGCTTAGCAACGCATGCAACGCATCTATTTTTATATGCAAACGTTTATACATATATAATTTTACATAAGACGAAAGCATGTAATGCGATACATCTCATTTCAATCTGCATCATAATTTTGACACATGAGAAGAGTACTGGGAATTAAATCTGTAAACCTAAATTCTGCCCTTGAATAACCCAGACTTTCCAAATTTAACCACAAGTTTAACTACCTAGAAAACATTATCTTTGAGCCATCTCTGACTAATCAGTCTTTAGGGGAAAAAAATTTACTTATAAGGGAGGCTACTATGCTTTTTCTTAACTGTAGGCATAAATGGTATTTAAAAAAAAAAGTATGTTAAATTATTAAATTAAAAACTAGTCAATCTAAACACCTGCTCTCAACAAAACACAGATAAAACCTGATATGTCCATGGTACAAGACTAGAAATTAACCTGTATGAGTTAACATTTTGGCATAAAATGTGTGGATTACATTTATTCGTTCAGCACACACTTGTGTTTAAAGTGGCCAGTTGTGGGGTTTGTGCCTTGCCTCCGGTGCCAGCAGTGGCTTTGAACACATAACCTGTCTTTGGATTACAGCTTACAATGAATTTTAAGTAATGCATCCCATACAGGGGCATGGTGGTTTAGTGGTTAGCACATTTGCCTCACAGCTCCAGGGTTGGGGGTTTGAATCCCTCCCGCCTCTGCCATGTGTGCGCAGAGTTTGCATGTTCTCCCCTGTGCTTCAGGGGTTTCCTCCCCCAGTCCAAAGACGTGCATTGTAGCCTGATTGGCATTTCCAAATTGTTGTGTGTGTGACTGTGTGTGTGATTGTGCCCTGCGATGGGTTGGCACGCCGTCCAGTGTGCCCCAAGTTTCCTGGGATAGGCTCCAGGTTCCCCGGCGACCCTGTGTAGGATAAGCAGTATGGAAAATGGGTGGCTGGATGGATGGATGGATGCATCCCATCCAGTACAGGTACAGAGCAGATATAGGTCATAATTTGAGAAGAAATGAGATGTGAGTAAAACTATCCTGAGATTTTTCTGTAAGCACTTCCGCTGTTTCACCAGAAGATGGCGCCATTTCCCATCTTAACCATTTCTTGCTTTTTTTTTATTTATTTTTTTTATTGCATTGACTGTAAACACAAGATTGAATTAGGCTGGTTTTGTGAGGTTAAGGTTTTAAAAAATAATAATTTTCCATCCTTGTGGAAATTTTTGTTTTCAGTAACAGGCTAAACACTGACAAACCACAGTTCTGTTTATTATAAAACTAACAATAATGGACTCACAGCAACAGCATATCATCTAATCAATGTTAAAGTCAACATCTAATCAATCACCTAGATTTCTAACTAAATTCCTTATAAAAAAAAACTGAACCAAAACACAAAGATGGAATGGATAAAACTTGAAAATAAATAACAATAGAAAAATAGCTGTATTCTGAACATTTAGGATGCATCTATAAAAACAAGAGCTGTAACCACTAACCAACAGGGAACAAGAAGCCAAGTCCATACACTGAATATCTGGATTCAGTTCCAGCATATATTACATTTCCCCAATCAGTGAACACTTTCTGCACCAGCTTTCTCAGTGATCGATTTCAACAAAGACGAATCGACTCTTTTTTAAAGCTTTTGTTGTTTATGCGTAAAACCAGCGCATTGCAAACTGAGCACACTTTTAGGAAAAGTAGGATTACCAACTCGTCCTGCAGCGACATTTCTGAACAGTTTGAACCCAAACCTCTTATATTTTTCTCTCTTTTTTTTCAGTCGAAGCAGTGCTGCAGGTCTGCCTGGCTGTACGGGAGCTGCGGTGTGTAGCTGGGGATGGGAACAGCGCTTCCGCCGGGACTCTCCGGAGACGAAGCACCGCACAAAGTGCGCCCGCTGTGCGGCGCGAGAGCGTGGTATGGCCGCTGGTATGGTCCGTAGGACGGGTGGATGTTCGCAGAGTGGTAGTAAGTCACGGGGGAGCTGGCATAGCTGTTGGGAGATGAAGGACGCGCGTTGCCGCTGCTGTGGAAGCTGTAGGCTGAGACCGCGCTGTGAGAGCCGGGCTGAGGTACCACGCTCCATGCGCCTCCGGCTAGCGGGCTCTGCCAGTACACAGGCTCCTGGTGGAAGTAGAGCGGCTCGGAGAAGCTCACAGACGGTATGTAGGGTAACGCAGGTGCTCGGTAAGGTCTCCTGACGCGCCTCCTGCGCCGGTAGTTGCCCTTGTCGAACATGTTTTCGAAAGCGGGATCAAGCGTCCAGAAGTTGCCCTTCTTCTCTCCACTGCCGCCTCCTCCTCCTCCTCTTCCTCCTCCTCCTCCTCCACCTCCACCTCCACTGCCGTCCCGGGGCACTTTAATGAAACACTCATTGAGGCTGAGGTTGTGGCGGATGCTGTTCTGCCACCCTTTCTTGTTCTTCTCGTAGTAAGGGAACTTAGAGATGATGAACTGGTAGATGCCGTTCAGCGTCAGTTTCTTGTCCGTGCTCTCTCGGATGGCCATGGCGATGAGCGCCACGTACGAGTACGGCGGCTTCTCCAGAGCGCTCAGCTGCGCGCGTGCAGCGCGCGCGCCGGCCTTCTCGTCCTCCCCGCTGGTGGACACGGCGTCCATGGAGATTTCCACATGCTCCGGCTGCTGACGGGACACTCCTTCACTCCTTCCGTCCTCCATACTCACGGGCTTCAGGTCCGATCAGGATGGAGCTGATGATGTGATCTCGACTAACAGGTTGGAAGCGCTTCAGTGTTCACGGGATAAAAGTAAGCGCAACCCGTGCAGGTGTGTAAAGCCCCGCCCACTGATACAGCGCGACGTTCCCACGCGCAGGTCTGGAAACGCGGCGCTGCACGAGCTCTCAGGTGTGAGGTGACATGGAGGTCCAGAGACGTGTTTTGACTGAATGTTACATTCAGACTGCAAAGCTCCTTTGAAATACACTGCTGTTTGGATACATGCAGTGCAAAAAAAGTAAAACACCAGCCGTCTGTTATCTTTAAATGTCTGGCTTAAACGTTTTGAAGTTTTATTTGTCCCTGTACATACAGCTTGTACTAGGCTTTAAGTGAAGCTGTACCCTCTCAGATATACAGGTACCAAAAGGTACTTTTCCTTTAGCATGTATCTTTTACAGGGGCATGGGGGGGCTTAGTGGTTAGCACTGTTGCCTCACACCGCCAGGGTTGGAGGTTCGAATCCTGCCTCCGCCCTGTGTGTGTGGAGTTTACATGTTCTCCTTGTGCTTCGGGGTTTCCTCAGGGTACTCCGGTTTCCTCCCCCACTCCAAAGACATGCCTTGTAGGCTGATTGGCATTTCCAAATTGCCCGTACTGTGTATGCGATCGTGCCCTGTGATGGGTTGGCACCCTGTCAACGGTGTCCCCTGCCTTGTGTCCCGTGTTCCCTGGGATAGGCTCCAGGCTCCCCTGCCTAGGATAAGTGGTACAGAGGATGGATGGATGGATGGATGGATGTATCTTTTACCTGGGAAGGTGTATGTGCTGTACCATTAATTAGCTTTCATAGTAAAGGTACATCAGTGGTCCTTAAGCTCCAACTGTCTACCTTCAGCTGTTTTTAAAGATATAAAGTTACATCCTAAAGTTACAGAAGATGTACTCTTAATGATACCACACGAGCGACAAGCAAAAGTACAGATTAGTACCTTTTATTTCTGAGTGTTTTTCAGTTTTTCAGCCAATGCATTGCAAGAAAAAAAATCACCAAGCCCATTATGATCACATCACAGATTTATTTTATGAGTATAATCCAACTATTCACATATTATGCACATATGCAATCATATTTATTACTTGATCATCTCATACAGCACACTGTAAAAAGTGTTGACACTTAAAAAAAAAAAATATTTCAACACAGCAATCTTTTTCTTAAAAGCCAAGAGTAATAATACACATTGGCCTACACGTACAAAAGCACACTTGTATGTTTACATGCACATGCAAATCTATCCTACATATGAAACACAGGTTTATTAGACAATCTTGAGAGATGATACTCAATGACCTGTAGTAGTTTATATTTCAGCAGCAACAGTTGTCCGTTTTTAAATTTTCAAGTTTTTTTTTACCACCTTGAAATAAAAGAGCAATGGAGCCAAGACGGAAAAGAGGGATACAGAGAAAGAGACATAATGCACATCTCAGTAGTTTCTTCTATCTAGGAAAATGCAGTGTTCTTTGTAAAATAGCAAAGACATCATTTGAATTTCCCAGTAATACTGATACAGTATAAAAAAAGTGAGACTACAGTTCATCAGAACCAAATAAAACCCTCATAACAGCCCAGTTCATAATCTGAACTTTATATACAAATAGTCCAGGTGTCTTGACAAAACTGTTCTGGTGTTTGGGATCCTGTGACAGAACATGTCATGGTCTTATTTTACCTTTGGAGTAAAGCCTTTGCAATTTAGACTATCTTTTTTATCCTTGTAGATTAATGAATGACTCAGTGGAAGAATAAATAGACTGATGTAGATCAATCACAGATGAGAACTAAACTGAAATTTAGTTCTTGTGCCCTTAAATTGTTCTTAAACATAAAAATCTCACATTCCTCCAAGAACAGCACTTCTCATGTAAATTCGAGACATGACATTTTAGTCTGCAATTGTGCTGTTTATTTCGTTAAATAAAACTTCAGGGGATCTTTATTATGGACAAAAAAATCAACTTGATTAAGAGATGATTGGGACCCTTAATGTAACAGAACTACATTACACACATACTTTTATTACATACATACAAAGAGCATGCAAAAGTAGACAAATGTCCCATTCATGTAACCACCATAATAAACTGTAACCAGGGTTTGTAAGACTATTTTATTAACACACAATGTATTTATGGGTTTACCATACCCCTGACTAGTAATTTAAAATTCACCATACACATTCACATTGTATAAATGCATACACACGAGACAGCTTCAAGTCCTTGCCATGAATTGTATGCAATGAAAACAAAAATGAAATGCTAAATTTACAAAAAAAAAAAAAAACCTGCTGCCTTTCCATAAAGTACAGCACATTTATCTTCTGAGTTTGAATCTCAATACATTAAGTTCTTTAAAATAAAGTCCCTTCATTAAGATGCCTAATATTCACTGAAGTTTTCAGCTTAATCTATTCATCTCAATTCAGGATTTGTGTGTGTATGTGTGTGTGAGTGTGTGTGTGTGTGTGTGTGTGGGTGTTGGGGGGGGTGAGTGGGGGTGAAGAATATTTGTGCATGTGTTTCACTGAAACAGAATACAGAATAATTACATTTTGAATTTGGCAATTATGTGTAAATGTAGTGTAGTTTAATGCATCACCAAGTACAAAATATCTACACATATGTCTGTGTACACACTCGCTGGTGTAGGAGCTTACACGGGTACAGTGAGTTACCCGTTGTTTGGAAGTGTTCAGTGTATTGAACTGGAGCCATTAGCAAGTTGTTCCACCCTTACAATAGGTATTTACTGAAAATATAAGTATGAGCACAATCATACAGCATTCCTCACATTATAGCAATCCCACTTAAAGACTGGTATTACTCATAGGAAAAAAATGTCATTATACAGCACAATAGCACCTCATGTAGCCTGCTGTTATTAATTCTGCTGTTATTAATTAATTCTCATCAATTAATCGCAACATGCTGCTTTATTTCAGGCATCTTTATGAAAGCAATTCGTAAGAGCAATGTTTAGAAAAGCTCTGTTATAGTTTTGGGCATGATGGGATGCTCTCTTCTATTTGTGAGCACAACTCAATTGGTACTTGATACCAGTTAGTTTATTTAAGTGTTCTCAAAACCTGACTTAGCACGAAATGTGCCACCTTTAGGATCACAGAATATGCAAAGACAAGCAGCAAAAACAGCTACCAGTAGCGTAAATTCTCTGTAGGCCATTCCAGCCTAAAAGCGGTTGAAAGCACCTAATCCCAGTGTACATCACATGAGGAGACATTCGAGAACTTGACGTTTGAACCCCATTCTCATCTCCAGTTGTAGTAAAGATAGAATGATATAAAGGTTAAGTTGGCAGTCAAGCTGGCGACCAAAAGACCCGGCCATATGGACCTGCCAAAACAACCTGCAAATAAAAAATAGGAACAAATGAGTCGACAAGTTTGGATGGAGCAAGCATTTGACTTAATTATCAATAAAACAGAACTGGACCAGTCATTATGGCAATACCACTAGGATCCAGCTCTGGTGGTTGGTTCTTACCTTCCCATTTGGATTTGCTGTCATTTTCATTCCCTGTGGTTGTGTCCACATGGCAGTTGGATGACCCTGAAGAACTGCTCATTTTGTTCTCCACATGTTCAAAGACACTGCCATCCTCAAACAGTGAACCCAAGTCTGAAATGACAAAATGGCACAACTTCAACATGGAAACAAGGATTTAACAAGCCACATTTAACAATTATTTTCTCCAATATAAGAAGGGGGAGCTCCCCATTTTCTCCCTAATTTGATCACTTGCCAATTCCCATCCACCAACCAGCTTTTTCCCATCTTACGACAGCTACCAAGAGAGGAAAGTGAAGGCTAAAAATGCGCTTCCTCTGAGACACGTGAAGCCAACCAACCTCATCTTTTCGATTTGCTGCACGTGCGTCGTCACAGCAGCGTAATACACTCTAAAGAAATTGCCATCTACCCTCTTTCATATACATGACCTCATAAATGCCCACGATTAGGTAGTGTCACTGTGATTGACAGGGGGAGAGAGGGTATGCCATCCCTCCCACCCAGAGAACACAACCAGTTTTGCCCCCTTGGCTCCCAGCCACATATAGCTGTGGTATTATTGAGGTTTTTGTACATTTTTAATAAAAATCCAAACTCAAATCCATTCATACATCACATTCTTCTGGATGGCATCTGATCAGAGGCTATAGCTGCGTACCAAACCATACTAAATAGGTTGCTACCATACCTGACAAACTATTTTGGCATACTTACGTTGGATGATTGTGTGTCGATTTCAGTCACAGGCTAAACTAACTAACTAACACTAACTTATAATCTTAAAATAAAACAACTTCAGATGAAATGCATTACGTCCATATGACATACTTTTTTGTGAAGGGGGATGCATACTTTTTTTTTATTTAAATACTATTCTTTTTTATATTGTGCTGAAAAAAAAAAATACCATGCATGTGTAGTAAAAAGAGTTTTGAACATATAGCAAAACACTAAAATTGATTAGAATTCCAATTATTTCAAAGGGTTAAGCAAATGCACTGGAAGTACCACAGCACTTAGCTCTTAGAATAGTAATAAAAATAAGCTTCCTCTAACAACTATAATGTCTATGTACCATGATTGTGTGACGGGAAGTGAGGAACATCAGGCGTGAAAGCTCTGCTGCTGAAGTAGTTTGGTTCTGACAAACATGGCGGCGGCAGTGAAAGACTCCTGGATTCCAGAGGAGAGGAGAAAAGCTGCAGCTTCTGCCCACTGATGTTGAGTCGCGCTGGACTGATAAGTGGCCGCCGCTGCCTGGCTGAGCTGGAGGAGGACGTGACCGAACCTGCCACGGACGGTGTGGGGGAGGGAGCAGGGGAGGAGGGCCGGCTTCCTGACTTCAGAGAGAAATAATCTAAACAAACCAAAAATAAAAATGAGATCGAAACATTTTACAGTACCAGTTTGTCTACAGACAGTGTATTTCATGTTGGTAATATTCTTGCAATACTCATAAGTAGTCCATCACTGCTAGCTACCTGAAGGCGGAGAGTCTTTGCACTGTGAAGACGGCCTACTCCCGCTGAACAGGAAACCAGAATCTACAGCCAAAGTAAACAAAACAGCAAACCAAATAAATCAACATAATTTTCCATAGATATTGATCACGATATGCTTCAATGCTTCATTTGGATTATTTTGAGAGAAACAGAAGCATGACTGATCAACATGCTCTTTTTTTTTCCTAGCATGACATGAGTGCATGTTATTGTTTCATCAGGCCTGTAAAGACCTGGAACAAGATACATGAGGAAAAAAAATAGTCCAAGTGCAAGCTGGTGTGTTAATGGAGAAGGCAGCTTTTCAATGGGTCACCAAAGCTGCATTAAGTCTGTGAAACCAATCTGCTCCAACACCTGGAGACTTGCAAAATCAACACAAGAGCATGAACTCTCTCAGCATGGTGAGTAGTGGAGCAAAACCGTCTGAATACTTCC